CGAGTTAAGAGAGAGAATGCATTCTAAAAACCTTCCTTTCTTGTTTTGTCGTCGCTCTTATCAAGTCTACTCATCGAAAAAATATAATAATAAATTAAGGTATCAGTCCTTCTCCCAGGGTTTCTGCTACATGTAATTGATCGTGGCGCACCGCCACGGCAAAATAAAAGCCGCCACGCCTCTGTAAAATGACTTTACATAAACTCCAGAAATCCTCTGGACAATTAGGTGTCGCCAGTTCTCATTGTTAAGTTAAAATGAGGGCTAATAATTCTTGACCTGTTTTCAATCATTTTGCTTGATGAACACGTTTTCCAATGAATAAAAATTAGCCACAGCAGTAAAACGCGCTGCTTTCTTCTTAATGCAATGTGTGCAACGATTAGAGAAAAAATATTTTGTTCACTTTGCAAAACGATTAACTACGATGTTAACTTCTGTGTTTGCTGTGAGCACATCCTGCTCTACCTGATTATATCTTCATCATTATTTAATTCCAATTCCGGAGTCCGGGGTCATAATCGGTTTTCATATTATATGTGAAATCCACCATCAGGCACGTGAAACTGATAAACCTCCGTGCACACAGACTTCAATTATTACATCGTCTACATGCTGATTAATGAAAACTGGCCACATCTGATAATGCTGAGCTTTGACCCGATGCTGAAGCCCTCCGCCACAGTTTCTAAAAATCCTGGAGGAAACCCTGCCTTCCCTGTATTTACACGATTTCCGTCAGATTGTTTAATCTTCAATGTACTCGGCCTATATAGAAACATATGAGTTTAAATTAAAAAAGACAGATAAATGTTTCTCCATCATAATTTATCCATCTCAAGTAAAGTACGACTCAATTTTAACCTTTAACAAAATATGAAGCTGCAAGAGAGAGACATAGTATTTCTATTGACATCTAACAGAGCAGAGCTTGCAAAACCCATATGTGACGTCACCCAAACCGGGCCTCTTTCCTAGCATCATGGAAGTATTCATGCTCGATAAAGTACTGTTGTTTCTTGCGTGTTTCCATTTTCTCGTATCGATAATGTGACGGAATGACGTTACATTGCATTCTTTGCGTTCTAAGCTTTCCATTGATGTCGAAATTGTCATATTTCAGTTTTTCCTTTGAATTCCTTCTTTAAAATAAACAAATTTCAATTTTGTATCTTGCAATACATTTTGTAAGAGGTTAAGACTAATTAATAGTTAAGCTTTCTAATAATTATAATTATTAATTATTACTAATAATTAATTAAGCAAATTATTTACCACTTTGCATCGTTGCCATTCCTTTTCAAGATCCTTGAATATAATGAGGGGGGATGTGGCTATCACTCTATCAGTCTATCCATCCATCTGAAATTATGTTTTTGTAGCCATTTGATATTTTTTTGTGAACAACACAGATATCAGCCATATGCTGGAGTGGTGCCGTTTGCTGTATTGGAATTTGACATTTTAATTTTTTCCAGAAAATCTGAAAATTTTGCGCGGGCCTGAGAGAATACCTCCTCCTGATGGCTTTTATTACTATACTTCAATATACATTTGGGGACTGAAGACACCAAGTGATTTAGTGTTCCAGGGGTAATTTTGTCCCATTCTTCCTGCAAACAAGTTTTCAGGTGTGCAACAGTATGGACTCTTCTTTTTTGCATTTTGCATTTTAAAATGTGTCACGCTACTGAGGACAAGTCTGAATTGCAGGCAGACCAGTCCAGCACCCTCTTCTTATGCAGCCATGCGTCTGTAATGCATGCAGAATGCAGTTTTCTGTTGTTTTATTGAAATACGCCAGAGCGTCCCTGCAAAAGATGCTTTCTTGAAGGCAGTGTATATTGCTCAAAAACCTAAACGACTTTTCAGCATTAATGGTGGCTTCACAGAAGTGCAATTTACCCTTGCCAAGGGCACTGATACAACCTCATAACAAGATAGAGCATGGCTTTTGGACTGAACAATCTGTTACAGTTGCTGGCAAACATCAGGATGGTCTTTGTCTTCTTTAGTCCATAGCGCATGGTGTCCATTTCTTCACAAAAAAATTCTAAAATATTGCTTTGTCTGACCACAATTCATGTTTGCAGGGTGTGATGGTCCATTGCAGATGCCTCAGGCCTAAAAAAAAGTTGAATTCTGCCAACATAAGACCTCCCTTTTGCACAGTAAAGTTTTAAACTGCAGTTATGAATGTAACTACTGTGTGTTCTTGTAGCACTTGACAACGGTTTGCTAAAGTAAGCTTAAGCCCATGTGATTTTACTACTCTTAGATAAATGACAGTTCTTGATGTCTGAGTGATGGAAGATCATTGGTATTCAGCTTATTCTTGCGTCCTTGCCCTTTGTGCTCAGAAATTCCACCAGATTTTTGTCATCTTTTAAATACGTTTTACAAATATCCAAATCCCTTCCTACCTTTTCTTTGAGGAAAATTGTTTTTGAACATTTCAATCATTGTCTCACACACTTGAGGGCAATTTGGCGATCCACTGCCCATCTTTTCTACTGAAGGCCAAGGCCTGTCCAGGATGCTGCTTTTGTACCAAACAAGAGGCTCCTCAGTGCCTGTACTCGGGCCTGGTCTAGGCCTGGTCCAATCGCAAAACCGCGCGCGTGCATGAGCAGGACAATCGTGACCCTGAAAAAAAAAAAAAAAGAAGAACGGAGCCGAAACTTAGACTTGTGGCCTACCGGCCGAGTATTTATGATTGCAGTCATCTGCTGAAATCATGTTCAAAGCTTTGTTTTTGGAATGTTTTGCAGGATGGATGTTTTTGCACTGGATGTTTTTTTTTTTCTTTTTAATAAAATGAAGTTGACCAGACAATTCATTAAATTTCTCATCTTCATGAATGAATATCTTATCCTCAACGAAATACGAGTCAAAGTAAATTTAAAAATCAGTGCTTTCTAACTTATCTGCATTCTCCATACCATCCCAATATTTTTCCGAGTTGGGATTGCTAACACATTCACTAGCACACACTGAACTGAGAGGATTATATCAGCTGAACGCCTAAACACCCCCACAGCAGCAGAAATAATGGATTCAGTAAAGGGTGTTTCCACTGGAGACAGCTGGTGCAATTCCATCGCTTAACAGTTGAAATTATTCCCCAGAGATAAGCCCAGTATTCTTGAGAAATAAGGGATTAGGGATGCAGGTAGTCTTCCAGCTTTCAGGGTGTGAAAGTGCTTTTCATAAAGAAGTCGAATTAGCGATAATACCACAGCCTACAGCCTGAACCACCCAAGCCATGCTATATGACAAACTTTTTTGATGTCCTGAGATATAAATCTTTAAATTACACACATTCCTGTCCCTGTTTTATTTTTCTCTCCAGACGATAAAGAGTATTACACAGTGGCCCGTGTTCAAGTTGGTAGTAATAGTCAACTTTGGTGTTGTTTCACCTGTTCCCTGCATGTGTAAATGAAAAACAACATACTGTCAGCAGAGACTACGTCTTCCTTTTGTACATTTTGCCAGCTGCTTTGTCAAGAGACTGTGTGAAGCAATCTTTCCACTTAATTTCAAGTTTTAGAAGAAACAAGAACTTTCAGCTCTTTGACATAATGGTTAGTCTTGTTAATTCATCTTAGACTGAAGGTTAAATTTTCTGGTCAAATTTTGCTGCTGTTGTATTTTTTTACAGTTCATTAGTATATATTAATTTAGCGCAGCTCTTCCATGTTATCATGTTAGGATCATTTAAAGAATTCCAAGTAGCCTTTTTTGATTTCCTGGTTGCAGTAGTTTTGGCTCCAATGGAAAACTGGCTGGATTAGGGAAACAGTGAAAGAGCAGAAATCATCATGGCCGTGTGCAATTACTTGGATGGATGGAGAAAGTGAGACGGTTATTCTGCAGAATAATGGTAGCAAGTTTTCCTTTTGATTTGGAACAAGCAAAAAGCCAATCATCTTATAAAATTATAACACAACAAGACATTGTCCCAATTTTTAAGCAAAGCGTAGCCATGCAAAATATTGGTTTAAGTTTTTAACAGTTTACAGCTCTGTATGGTACATTTCCCAGTTATTACAAACTTTTTAATTATTTATTATTATTTGATTAAGATTTAATTATTTTGCAGGTATATTTGCCCTACAAAATTGCGTTCAATGTGTCTAAGACTCTTGCACAGTCCTCTATGCGTCATTCACCTTTTAAAGAAGTGATGTGTTTTGCTGACTGCACTGTGTTAATTACAACAAAGGCGGAGAATGCTGCATGGCATACTGCAGTTACTGTGGTGAATATCACGTCACTACCGAAGCAGCACACAATGTCAAAATAGTCCGTATTGTCGACTGACGACTGAACTCTGCCTTAGTTATACACGTCAACTCCGTACAGATGTCTGTACCGCCAAACTGAATACACCTTCAGCCTCCTATTTCTGTTTGCGAGTCTCTTACAAACTCATGATAAAGAGAAATTGAAAATCAAGTTGACACTGATTCCAACAGTATTTGAACCATATTTCTACGCTGTATTATTGCAACAATATTGATAGAAACATGGTAAAAATGAACCGGTGCGTGGCAGACCTCAGAAGGTTAAAGGGTCTTTTATAATCCTAAATTTACAGTAAAGTATAAAGTAATGTAAAAAAAAAGAGTGTGGTAAAAGTATAAAGCATAAGTATAGTAAACCAATATCACTTATTTTATATTAAAGGGTCTTTTATAGATCTAATACCAATGCCATTATAACTGGCTTTGAAGAGACTAGATTCCGTCAGGTTGATAGGAATTGTTTCATAACATCAAGTGACATCATTAGTTATGTCACGGGTAGCCAATCATCATGCATAAGCATGTCCTATGTCATCAACATTGACATTTAACCATTTGCCAGGCTGATGTCATGATGGCATAACATGCTGTATAATAAGGTATTATGCCATGCCTAATGAAGGATGCCATTTACTTAACTCACAGTATGATTTATGAGGGCTTATTTATGAGGGCATTATATGCTAGGGCGGCACACTGGCGCAGGGTTAGCACTACTGCTTCACAGCACGAAGGTTGCGGGTTCGAGTCCAGCCTGGGCTATCTTGCATGGTGGTCAAATATTCACCATGCATTTGCATGGGCTACCTCCTCCTGCTCAGTTTATTTCCCACAGTCCGAATACATGCATGTCAGGCTAATCATAGACTCTAAATTGCCCCAATATGAATGAACCTGTGATCACTGTGATAGAATGACATTGGGTGAATCTCAAAGCTGAGGCTGCATCCTACGAAGGTTGCATTTTTAGGGGTCGTCACTTACTGACATCATTTCATCTCCGTTATACAGCTTTGGTTGAAACGAGCTGCTCTGGTTTCCCTAACCCCAACCTTAAGTCTAACCCCTAACCCTAAACCTAGCCCCAATCCCTAAATTTAACCTTGTCCTAAACCCAAAATGTTAGTTCGGCAGATGGAAGTAAGAGACGAGCCCTAAAAATACAGCCTTCCAAGAACGTAGTCTACGCATTGAGATGCACCCAATCTGTCCAAAGTGTGTTCCTGCCTTCTACCTATTGGACACTGGGATTGGCTCCAGCTGGCCCACGATGCTGACCAAGAATAAGTGAGTTAAATAATGCCTGGATGGAGTTCTCCATTATGTATTGGGTACACAATCAATTGGAAAACTAATAGCATCCTTGAATAATTTGAGCATTGTGTTAATAATTAATTCACTGTTTTCAGTGTTTATTATCAGTCACTTCCTGTATTTCCCAATAGCTCAGTTATGCTCATATGCCAATTGTGCTTGCTATGAAATTAAGGCAACAAAAATTTGGCCCAGCTCATTCAGTATTCTTTCAATTACGTTTTGAACTCTTACAAACCTTGGCTTTTCTCTGTCTCTGGTCAACAGCAACATAAGGAAGCAGTTTGTCCATGTTTGATTTTTTTTGTTTTTAATTCTCTTTTGGTCCCGATTTCCTCCCAGCTTGTGTATCTGAGTTCCTGGGGTTAGGATTTCATCAACATACCAACTGGCGAAAGTCGCCCCAAGTTTCTGATTAAAATACATAAAGCAGGGATACTTATATGCTTCTAGAATGAGCTGGTGTGGGTGCAGGCTTTCATTCTAACTCTGCAGTTTTACACCTGATTCTACTTATCAAGGGTCGATGGCAAAAGCTCTAAGGGTTGATGAGTAGAATCAGGTGTGTGACAGGTTGGTTAGAATGAAAGCTGCACCCACGCCGGCTCATTCTGGAAAAGAGTGAGTATCCCTGATGTAAAGCATCGATGTACCCAATGGATCCCACCGTTCATTCATTAATTCGCTCTCTTTATTTATTCTCCGCAGTGAACTTTGTCATTTCTTTGCAGTAAACTTCAACTTATCCCTGCGAGAGAAAAGTAACGTTCAGAAGTTGCGGAACATCTTGACATCTTGCTTCTTCTTCTTTCTTTTTTTTTTTTTTTTTGTCGTGCGTAGGTGCCAGAACAGTGTGCAGCATGTGGCTTTACATCCCAAACAGGAGACCATCTGGTGAGCGAGTGTGTGTGTGAGGGAGAATGTTCCCTTTTCTTATTGATTGCATATTAAAACATCGCACTTCTCTGGTTTCTCGTGACTCATGTCGGGATCTGAATGCATGCTTCGTGCTCCTCTGTCCCGGCTCTTTCAGTGCGGACCCATCCCTGCACCCTCCACTCATTAAATTCTTAAATGCTAGCGAGAGACCCACAAGGACCTTCTGACTTCCCTCAGGTAAGCTCTGATGTTCCGGCATTTATGACCCTCTGTCATTGCAGCAGGTTACGCCACTGACTGAGAAGAGCAATGAGTCCTGGCTAACAGCCAAGAGTCTGTGTTTGAGAGAGTGAAAAGGTCTTATAGGTAAGAGAATACCAGGCCCAATCTATGCTGCATAATAGGTGAGCACAAGACATGCATTTTTTAAAAAAATATCATTTTAGGAAGCTTGTTGACATTTATTAATTTGCCTACATTTGAGGCTGGAATGAAATGGAGGGTTTGTGTAGCTTTTCTTTGCTGATCATGAGATGCTATACAGTCTGGTGTATTTGAAGATTTCTTTGTCATGCAATTATATTTACTGTAGATGAATGCAATATTGTGATGTCACGCACAGTATATACAGTTACATATGACAAAATGAACAAGTGATATCAGTGCCTCACTCTGTAGTGTGTCGTCACATTATTATTTATATTTAATGGCTTCATTTGCGACTCCATATCAATGGCCCTGATTTTGTAATGAGATGCCGCATAATGTGTCTGCATAGAGTGTTTGTGGGTCTTTATCTGGAATATCTGCAATTTATCTGGAATGCTGCAAGGGGAAAAGTCAACAAATATGATAAAATTTACAATTGTCAACCACAAATGCGCAAACAGCAGCAAAAAAAGAAGACAGGCCTCTTTGCCACAAGGCTGTTCAATAAAAGCCCATCTGTGAAAAGTGGAGAAGTGTGGCTGTCGGCTGTGAAAGGGCAGCTTCTCTAATTTGATTCATGGCATAATAAAACTGTAGATGTTCTCCATGCCCTGTGACCTTTATTGCTCACTCATCTCTAACCGGCCTCCAGTCAACAGCATCAAACAGCTGTTAAGAAATAACCCGTAATGCGGCAGTTGTGAAAAATCACCATTTCGAAAATGTAGAATCAACGCCGATTCCGTTTGACAGAGAATCCGCATAACCGAAATGTAACGAGAGCCACTGAAAAGATTCATAAGTCGCATGTCTTGTTTACATTATTTCAAAAAATAGACTAAAGAGAGTTTATAAATATTTCTTCTTTTGTCATTTTTGATTGTAAAATAAAATTTCTAGAGTTTTAGAGGTCACTGAATATAATTTGTGACAAATTTAAGACCACTCAATAAGGCAATGAGTAATATCAACTGTTTGCTAATTAATACTCAAGTTTGCAAAGGACAGGCTGCCATTTCCAGGAGCTGAGTAACGAGCAGACTAATTTAAGCCTGGATTGATTGGCTCTGAGCTTCAGTATTCCCCGCCCACAAACAAATGCTAATGGAGTTTTCTTTAGTTTGTGTTATTTTGTGTTTGGCTTTTTATAGAAACCTTATGAATAAATACAGCTATTACAATCATGAATAATTTAACTTCCAATATAAGCGCCGGCAGTAAAATTTGAAAATAAGTTTGACGAAACCGGGAGGTTTGACTGTAAATGCCAAGAGCAGCGAAAGCATTCATCACAAGACTTTCGTATAAAGCGAGAATGAAAGAAGCATCATTATCAGCATGCAATGGGAGGAATAAGCTATATTGACTAAATGATTCAACTCTCATCACAATAGATTCCAGCCATGGAAAACTAAAGAATGGGTGTAATATTAGCTATAAGATTTAAAACAGTGTCATTTTCCATTGAGGTCTTTGATTAGCACAAATTAATCTCTTATTGTGTATGTTACAGAAGTCTAACTGGCAATATAAAATACCACTTGTGAGTATACTTATCATGAAAGTCTTAAATATACACATCAAAATCTTGCTCAAGCAACCCATTTACCCAGCCATTGTTTGGATTCTTTCATGTAGAAGCACATGCTGCTGAGATTATCTATAGGCATTTCAGGCTAGGTCTCGGACAGACGTCTGTACCGAGTCCTTGAAGCAAACACACTTTCAGCCTCCTGACAGTAAGCCACATACAATATCGCTATGAGACGCAATCGAAACAAAGATATTTTGGAAAAAGGCTACACAACGCAAGCGCCAGTGTGGAACCTAGCCCACATGGACTGAATGTCACTTGATGTCAGAGAAGATATAGTGCTTACAGTCCGTTTGGGCTGGGTTCCACTGTGGAGCTTGTGTTGTGTGGCCTTTTTTTTAAATTATTATTATATCTATGTTTCTATTCTGTCTTACCACAAGATTGTTCTTGACTCACAGCCGGAGCTCGGGAGCTGAAAGTGTGTTCGCTGCAACAACCGTCTGCACATACGTCTATCTGAGACTTGACACGTGCAACTCTGGCAGAGTCCAACCATTTGTCGTCAAGACGGACTATTTCAACATTGTAAGCTGCTTTAATAGTCAATTGAAATTCACTTTGGCTGGTCATGCAGCATTCGCCACTTTTGTCATAGATCGCTCACTGTGTCATCATCAGTAAGAAGTCCATGACTTTCGCATTTAAAAATGAGAGTATATGACTCAGAGAATCCTAATGATGTTAAATATCTTTGGAATATTGAGAAGCTATTTTTCTAAGTAAGACATCAGGGCTAAGCTGCTCACCGGTGAAGGTGAGTCCACAAGGTGAGCCACACTGCCATTGTTGCCTCTGGAGTCGCACTCGATTGTGTATCCGACATGATCTCAAAAGAGTTCAGAGGTGCATGTGGTCATTACATGAAAGTCGTATGACCAAACTTCTGAAGTAGTCAGACAACTTGTTTAACAGCTATTTCCAATCATGCACTGTATTTCACCCACAACCCAACAAATAAACACAGCTGTCTGAAGTCGACTACATTAGCTGAACAAGCTTTAAGAAGAGAGCTTGACATAGAAGAGTATAATCTCAAGAGCCAAAGGGGTTAAACCACCTGGACATCACGTTTGAAGCAACATAGTCACGACTCAGAATTGCTGTAATTTATTAGGTTACGCAATTATTCGAGGAAGCTTCAAATAATAGGTTTGAGATTTACAATCAAGCAGCCCCGACAGCAGATGGCAAATTCCCCTATTATTGTCCAGTCTGATTTGCTTTGGCTAGAATATAAATATTCATAATGATGCTGTCCACTAAATCATTGATACGTTGGAGGTTCATGCATATCTGCTCTCCATAACCCACAATAAATGAAAAAAACTATTGGCTTAACTCCTTGTTGTAATTTTTAACTTGGATTTTCTTTTAAGAAGGTTCAATGTCAGAAAAAACTTTTTTTTTTTTTTTTTCATACTGTGGGACAATGTTGCATTCATGTTGCTTTCATGTTCTGTTTCTGCTGGTTGCAGTGCTTAACTGAAGTTACATCACACTGAAGAGAAATATTAAATATGTTTTTACAGCCACTGCATTACAT